AGCCTGTCTCCCGTGCGTCCGGGCCTCGAGACAGTAGTGTGCGGGTTTGCTTTTAGCTCCACCTGCAAGGCGCCATGGGCCCCTAACATACGCAAACCACCTGCCCAAGTCCAAGGGCTTGAAATTGTATACTGTGTAATCGTTTCCCTGTTAAATGACTCCTTATGAATCTGCCAGTGATAAAGTTCACTGATGCGTAAAATGCATCTTTTGAGAAACCACACAGCTATCCTAATGACGTTGTTGTTAGAACAGCTGTATGTATTCTGTCAATTGGTTTTCACCCCTCCACTCATTCTAAAATCCGGTCTTGGTTTCCAAGCGACGATTCCGCGCTCTAAGCGCAATGTATAGAAATTTCCATAAGCATACCGTAGGTTATTTGCTTGGAAACCAAGCGGGAGAGCCCCGGTTTCCAAACAGAAACACGCTGTTCTCCAAGCAGATTGACTGTGGCTCCCATGTAAACCATACCCATTTTGCTTAATTACCACTTTTGCTTGGAGCGCGGAATCGTCTTGGAAACTAAGAACCCGATTTTAGCGTGCTCTATGTTACGATTTTTCTCGCTTACACTGTTCAATCAGTTCAAACAAATTATCACAGACCCTTATCTTTGCACTGGAAACAAAGGTGTGCAACTGACATGCACATGCGAGTATTTAACTCTTGGTCACACTCTTAGGTGTTGGACTATGAACTCGATACTGAAAGTAAATTTGAGCACTTAAAGTGTCGCACGGTTAAAGACGCGACTTCCTTATCTAGAGGTCTGAGGTTCAACTCCCGGTGTGGCAAAGGTGCATTCCTTCAAATGAAATCAAAGAAGTTAAGTTCATCAGAAAAATAGGAAGAGGGAGAAAGGGAGGAAGAGTAACAAAACGAAATATTACTGTTTTAAAACCCCAGAGAGGTTCCTTATCCAGGTGATACAGATTTTCGTATGCATGTTACAGAATCAATTCTTTATCGTGTATCGTGCATGATACAAATTTCCGCAAATTTCTGGAACATGTGATGTGCAAATTACTGCGTAACAATGTTACAGAATTTTATACTGATTTTTAGAGCTATATTATGTTGCAGAAGAAAACACAACCGAAAGCCTTTGATCAAGAGATCTGCTTAACTGTGATCTTGACGCTATCTGAGGACTAGACAGATGTGTGCTGGCGCAACCGTTGTCTGCAGTCAGGTCCTCAAAGCGCGTTATCTACGTGCGAATATATCATTGGTTATATAATTTTCAAACGTGTTGCAAATTTGCGAATCCTTGCCCTCGTAGTGCACTCACTGAAAGATGTCTTCCGTAGATTTACAATATTTTGTAATTTATACTGCTTACAAAATTCAGGGTTGTCCACAAACCGATGGGTCCTAAGAAACGTCGTCTGATCTCCCCTTGACGCTTCAGCGTCGTCCGATCCCCCTTTCGACGTTCTCTGCAGCGCCGTCTCCTTTCAATCGCGAGTTGAATAATTTTGGTAGTAGCGAAAAAGTAAAACAAAAAAATGCTTCGAGTGACTGACTTTTCGGAATTTCAGACCTTTCGCGAGGGATATCTCGGGACCCCTAACGAGAAGATTTCTTATTTTAGTTTTTTGACAATTATCTCGTAAGCGGTTTGAGATAGTTTCCGGTTCCGGTCCCTGCTGCCTCTTCATCAACGACCGGACGGGCAGACGGGCGGGCGATGACAACGTGGCTGCTCAAGACCGCTCTGAATCTTTTTCACCCAAAAAGGTGTGTTCTCAATTCAAGAAATGTACTTCAATTTCTGAGACGTTAAAGTAAGAATATGTTGTCAAAAAATGAAGTACAACACTGTGAAAAGTATCCTCGTAAATTTACGACATTTGTTGTAATTTTGATTTACAAAATATGTCGTAAACTTACGACAGTCCATTCTTGCTCGTCGGTCAATTCCAAGTCAATAGGGAGTGCTTGTAAATTTAAAATTTAAAATTGTACTTTTACGACTTTAATCATGGAAAATTTTCCCGTAACCCTTACGAGTAATTCATAGCGAATTCTTGAATTAAGAACACACTTTTTCGAAGCAGAAAATCAGGCTCAAAGGAAAGTAGTATTGACGCGCCGAGCCAGCCACCCGCCCGTCCCCGGCCGTCACGTGCCACGCCTGCCAACGACTCCCAAAGGGCGTTAAATGCTCTCTGAAAGTCTTCATCGTTTCGCGCTAAAACAAAACACTGTCAATACTACCAGAGTGAGAGTGAAGAGGGCTCGGGGAGCGGGAGGGGGGGGGGGGGGGCGGGCGGGCCACCCGTCTGCCTGTTATCGCGACGGCGGGTCGGAGGCATCGGTGCCGTCAGTGGTGAGCGGTTTGCGCACGAGAAGACCTCAGCACGTCGCTGTCGCCGTCTGCGCTCCGTGTGTGCGAGTGTGTGTGTGTCCGCGCACGTAGTGCCCGAGTGCGTGCGCGCGTGTGTTTGTGTGTGTGTGTAAACGCGTGTGTTGGTGACACCATGGCGCTGGCCAGCGCCATATGGCCCGATTCGGAGCCGCCGAGCAGAGTGCCACAGCAACAGGTGTGTGTCGTTTGAATAACGCGCGTGTGTCTCGAAGAGACTTGCGTTGAAAACGTCTGAACGTGGCCACAGTGCCGAAACGAAGTATTCGCTTCAAGTGCAAGTCCGGCGCCACGAGTTTTGTGAAATAAACCCTCTTCCCCTTCCCCTACCGCGCTACTCCCCCCCTCCCCTCCTCCACTGTTATGCAAGCACTGTGACGTCACATTTAAACGACTGAAACTATTGTCGATTTTGGTTAAAACTATGCGGTATATCACGTAGTCTATCTAGGCAGGACAAGGTGGGGCACGTTTTACCGAACGTGCCAAGTAAGCAATTGTTATACAATTTGACTGAATGTCACGTTACAGTGCTCCCTCACTTCATCTCTCTCTCTCTCTCTCTCTCTCTCTCTCTCTCTCTCTCTCTCTCTCTCTC